ATCAGTCGAGAAAAAGATCTATGCCATGTTGAACATTCACTTTTTGCACAATAACATTAACTAAACGTTTCATACATGCAATTAGGATACAGTTCTACGAACTTTCCGGACACCCTGATAAAACAATCCGTCCAAAGAATCAAGTGCATATCATGGTCAATGAACATTGTACTGTCATTGCTGGATTGCCTTTAGTTAGTTAATAGACGATGTTTTCGATTTTGATTAAATAACTTTTTCGTTCAATCTAATTCATATGATGTCCGACTATCAAACTAGTGTTTGAGACCGTAAAAGAGTTTTCACAGATGTATAGATCATTGATTGTTCATGTTATCAAAGATTTTTGTTGGATAAAGCATACGATTCAAATATCTTGTTAATATGATTAATGCAACATGAACATCGATTAGACCGTGCGCATAAAAAGGGTGTGGGTGTGGGATGGGGTGGGTGCGGGTGTGAGATGTGAATGTGGGTGTGGGTGTGGGATTGGTGCGGGTATGGATGTGGGTGTAGGTCTTCCCTTTTACCCAACCTACACCCACTCCCACACCTCATCGATGGAACGAGAAAATTTCACAACGGCATGACATCTAGTTACTTGGATTTTTCCTTTTATTCTCACATTGCCACATTACAAGTGTATATAAAAAGACTGTAGCTTTGATAATATTTTGTCTTTGTTCCAAAGATATGCTAAAATAGAAGCTACCAATTGAGAGTAACACAACAATGGGAATGAAATCGAATTTGCGCAAGTGTAGGCAACTTCAACGAAAAAACAAACGCATTACTCAACGGAAAGCAAATCAAGATTTTCTTCTATCCGATTTACATTCAGGTATGGCTAACAATATCTATACTTATTTTTAAAAAAGGCACGGAAGATAGAGTGAAAAGAGTGAAGATAAAACACAACTTGATTGAGAATTTTCATTCTATCGTACCGTACCATTCAAGCGATTTTTTGCTGCGAAATAATTCTTTGGGAAAAGAGGATGGATGTAGTCAACTCAGCTAATCATTTTGAGACATTGAATCATCCTTAGTCTATTTTATCGGACAGATATTTGTTTTTCATCAAATTCGTAATTTTTGTAGCTTTGGAATCGTCGCCGAATGTGATTGAGAATGTCGATCTGATGAGCATTCCCTTTCTCTAGACCATCTTTTTCTGTTTTTTTTAAAATATATTTTGGAATCATTCAAGGTGAGAGATTATTTATTCTGTTAGATTGTCTGTTTATTTAGTTGTAACAGATAAAAATCGACTAGCTAGATCATCGATAAGAAGTCAGTTGATTGATGATTTCAATTGTAATAGCCCGGAAGATAATGACTACGAAAACTATCTGGAAGAAGATCGAGAAGAGAGTGAGATACAAGCTTATATTGACTCGCAATGGAGTGAAATTTATGAAGCCATCAATATTGGTAATGCTGGTCTTCTCGAATCTATTGTACCACCGATCAATATCTACAATGGTACGAAAAAATATTGGTCAGATGAATTATATTCGCAGCAATGTTGGCATACTACCGACATTCTTTCACGTACTATTAATCTTGAACGTACAAGCTGTATTCGGGTTTTGTTGGACAAGGTATATTCCGGTGATCTTGACCCAGCTATAGTACATGGTGATTTTCATCTCTATCGAACACCGCTGGCCTATGCATGTCAGGAAGGTGATTTGAATCTTGTTCGAGAACTCGTTGAATGTGCTCAAGTAAATATTGATGACAGCAGATGTTTAATAGTTGCAGTTGAAGAAGATGATCAAACACTGGTCGAGTATCTATTGAGTCAAGAATGTAATCTTCAGAACGACTATAATAGAAATATATTTCATAAGGTGTCTCGTTATGATCAGCTCAAAATCGTTAATATCCTTTTAAACTATGGCGCTGATCCTAACACACAGGATTATTTTGGTCGGACTGTCCTTGATTATGCCATAGATGCAAGACATATTTGACATTGTCGAACTTCTTCTGTCGTATATACACGGCAACATTGCAACAAATCATGACAATTTTACACCAATGATGTTAGCTGCACATCATGATTTAAGACCGATTGTTGATTTACTTTTTCAAATCTTACCACTCGATCGAGCTGCCGACGATCTATTACAATTAGCTTGTCGATATACAATTGATCATAATATGCAAAATCACGATATGGCATTGTATTTTTTTGAACAAGGTTTAAATGGAAACTCAACACCGTATCATCTTATACGCGAGAAAGTTTACGAATTTTGCCATGAATGTCAAACCTTAGATCAATTGGAATTCATACAAGATGATGAAAATACATGCTTTACTCATCAATGAACGAATTTTTCTACAACGTGGAGACGCTTCTATCTATATTGACTTAATTCACAAACAATGCGACTATTATCGTAATCGTCATTTATTTCATCGAAGTTTGCAGTTACACTTGCACGCATATCAATTGATGCTTCGAACCCAGAATGATTGTGAAAATTCAAGACGATTATATCAAAATCATTTTCGTCTATTTGTCAACGATTTACAGAGTATACTGAGACAGATCAATGTAGTGCCTATCGACTCATTAGTGATCATATTCAATTGGATTTTTGATCAAAACAAGCAATATTGGAACCATAATCAAGTTGATCTTCTAATAATCGTCATTTGTATAAGTATATAGAAAGGTATTGAAAGTTAATAGTACACATGTTAATTAATCATATCTTTCTCATACCCAAAAGTAATTTCAACATATATAAATCGAAGGATTCTTCGTCAAAATTGATATTGGTTGGCATAGTGGATCCACTGAAAATATCATCTTTATGGGCTTATCCATTTGTTGTGCTTGAAAAACTTGTTAGCGCAATCCATGTGGGATTAAAATGTGAAACACGATATAGCTATTGTTACTAATCACACGAATACGGTTGTCTTCGATATACCTTGGGCGCATTGATTCATTATTTGGTACTTAATTCTATAGAACTACAATAAGGAGACAGTTGATATATTCTTATGAGATTCTACTGATATATAATCGTCAATTGTGTAACAAAAGGACTGACACGGTTTGCAATAATCTCTGAAGACTCTTTGCGGCGAGTATAGCATTTTTTTGTCACGATCTGTGATGGGTCATTAATGATTCACTAACGAAATATTAATTAGAGACTAGTTATTTATCGAATTCTTTAATTAGTTAGTGAATTAAGTGAGTTCTCTGTCATGGTGTGGGGGAGGGCGACGGGATAGATACAAATTTCTACCCTATACGCTTCAACACTCCTTTCAGATTGTGTTTCACAAACTAAAAGTCAAAAATGTTTTCTGACATATTGAAGTTGATGAAGTCAGCAAAGGATATCGAATATTTTTTTAAAAATCTGTTACAGATATGAACATTTCTCTGAAAAATTCTTTTACTCGCTATGTACTCCAAAAAACATCAGCACTCTCGGATTTCGATCAAATTGAATCGTACTTCTGAAATAAAACATTCGATATTGCATCTAGAATCAATTGTTGAATTATCATTTGATGTGTTGATATTCTATTATTTTTTTTATCAAATGACATTCAGTAAGAATTATCAAACTTATTTTTGTTCTTTTATAGATGATTCAATCGAAACAAACGACCAACAACGAACAGTCTATGCTTTTGAATCTCGTGCAACGAGCTATACGAAAGAATTTTTCTCAAATAAATTTTCTTGGCTACTTTAATCAAGAAATTGCCAGAAACGTTTCAGTAATAGAATGCGGTCGATACAGGTATATCTGATTTACTGATTTTTATACTCATGATTGTTTCAAAAATAGAAATATAATATCTACGATATATAGACTCTCTTTCACGAAAAAAAAATACGTTAAGAATGAATCATTTTTCAAAAAATTCAAGGAAACACGATCCTTCTTCCTCTTCGAACAAGCACAGTTAAAATACAAAAACATATGTTTCTTTCATTTAGTCTCTCAACATTATCCATCATTCGTTTACTGATTCAATGTGGAGCCGATGTAAATCAAATTTGTGATCGTCAGAGAAATCGACCATTACATCTTATTGCAAAATATTCAAATATTGCAAAAGCAAGTCCTATTATTGAATTACTTTTCGCATCGGGTGCCCATCTTGATACCAATAATCTTATGAATCGTTTGCCGCAGGATCTAGCACGGACACCTGATGTTAGAAAATTACTTTGTAGAAGTCAAAAACTCTCGCTCAAGTGTCGATGTGCTCAAATAATTGCTTCATCGAAGTTTTATTATCAAGATCATTTAAATTCAAATCTCGTTGCTTTCGTACAGTTGCATAGTAAATCCA